TCCACTTGGTGCTTGTTTAGGAAGACAGTGGTAAGACTCGCATGGAGCTGTAAACACACAAACAGGGCCTTTATCAGTGACTCAGAGAGTGAAAGTGTGGACTGGGGCCAGGGAGCATTCCTGACTCCCACAGCTCGTCCTGTTCAAACTTGCCAGTCTCTGTAAGTGCTGTGCATCCTCAAATGCCACCACCAATTGTCAAAACAAAACAAAAAGCATAAAGACGGAGAATAGAGACCTTGCATGGTTGAGCACTCCAGCATCTTAAATAGCTTGAAAGAACCACAGAAATGGCAACAGCAGAGCTGAGGTTAATGTAGGTTACAGACAAGAGGCAGCCTGCACATTTATGTTTAGATCAAAGTTTATGGACAGGATAGCACTGCGTGACATCGGCTTGTTTTCAGGGGGTTGTGCTAGACATCTAGCCCACTTGGCAGCTAGAGGCTAAGTGCTCTGAGGATCTCGTCCAGCTGTGCCTAGAGAGGAGCCAGGGTATCGGCTCCCACAACATGGCAGGTCTGCCTGTTAGCGTGTCGATCTTTGCTCCTTGAGGAAGAGGATCTCTAAGTGACACCGTTAAGCTAACGAGCTGCTCGTTAAGCTAACGAGCTGCTGAAGCAGCCAATTGTCTGTGTTCTTTACAAGCTGTCCCATAAGCCCTGGAGCCCTGGTGCATCCACTTCCCTTGGCCCGATGTTGTCCAATGAGACGTCTCACAGCTCTGGCATCCACTGAACAGATTTGCATTGAGCTCCTGTCCTGCTCTGACTTGTTCCCCTTTTCAAACCTCCAAGAGGCGAGCTACCGCTCAAAGTTTTGACGTGCACCACAACTGGTTCTGTGGCTGTGCGGGGTATAAGACGAGGGTGAGCACGCAGCAGAGACTCAGAGCTCCTCAGCGCAGCAAGAGCGAAGGGTCTGTCTGCAGGGAGACAGGACTGGAGAACTTAAAGCTCATCAGGTACGACATGATCTACTGCTGTTTACTGGAAGAGCCCTCTCATATAATTCTATATTGATAATAATCAGAATATCAGTCGTCCTTGTAGTGCAGGGAATGACATCATCCGGAATGTTTAATTATTCATTTATTTTTATTTCTCATTGTTGTAAGTTTACAAAAGTTATTGGGGATAATAATGGCAGCTATTTCTCCATGTTCACATTAGAACTGTGTGGTCTTGCTGGATAACACAGCATGAAAATGGACTGGGTGTGAAATACTCAGCTGAAATCAGAATAAGATTCCTAGAAAATGCCCCTTTGACACACTTCTTGCTGTATCTGCAAAGGGGCTGCAAAGTCAGACATCAGTTTATTGATTAAATTGTGTCACCGCTCCAGGAAAGAAAACTCCAGAGCACTGACTTTCAGGAGCAGGACACTATTTTAACATTATTTTTTGCTGAACTACAAACTTTCAAAGATCAAGCCTGTGCCAGCCCAGATAGTTACTCTCAGCATTTGCAAATTCACAGCCAGGTGTCTGTCTAGTTCACTTACAGACTGTTCTCCAGTGCATCGGAGATTCCCAGTCCCTGTCTTTGTGACCTCAGTGTCTGCTGGTGTCTTCGTTTCAATTGATTCCGTGGATATTTAACAACCAGATCCCTTCCTCCTGCATTTAAAAATCATTAACTAATAATAATTTACTAATCCGGACCTTTCTACTTGTTTCCAGCACTGAAGACACCTGAGATTTTATTTGACCTCTCCAAATTCGTAAGTAACTCACCAGCTTCATCTTTTTAGTAACGGCTTGAGCTCATCTGTGCCCAGCCAGACTTGAAAACCACCAGGAAAGGACAGATTTGCAAGAACAAGCTGTGAGATTCAGTTCGGTTAGACACAACAGGAAAGTTCACGGACATTCAGGAAAAAGACATGCCTCCCATATACTCTAGGTGACAGCTGTCAAGTTAGAAGCTTAAACACGTTGTGTCTGTCTGCTTTAATAGCCTTGAACAGTTTGTTCTTCAAAAGCAGACACATAGGGACACACAGGTGCTCTCTGCCAGCCTACAGCAGCTCGAACCCAAAGATTATTTGCACATCAAAGGTGGAGAAGTGGGGAGTCTGTTCAGGGCGACTTGCTGTAAAGTGCTATCACTCCTGTCCCTGGTCTGTTCGGCGTCGGGCGAGCGGAGAGAGTGTACTGCAGGGAGGAGAGTACACCCAGCTCCACCCAGGGAGACGTGCTCCTGTCGAATTGCGGTTCGTCTGCTTTCTACTGTGACAGAAGCTTATTCTAAAAAATGTATGAGGGCCTTTGTTGTCTCATTGTGAGAAGCTACTGAGAGGCTCTCTGCCTCCACCTCCCAACACGGCACGTCACTGTGCTCTTACCCTGCTAACAGGACAGTGTAGTGCAGAGCACCACAGTGAGATCAGGGTAGAAGCGCAGTACAGTGCAGTAAAGTCCAGTGAGATCAGAGTAAAAATACAGTACAGTGCAGTAGAGCCCAGTGAGATCAGGGTAAAAATACAGTACAGTGCAGTAGAGCCCAGTGAGGTCAGGGTAAAAGTAGACTGAAATTGTGGTACACAGATGTGTGATAGAGAAAAATATGAACAGTGAAAAACTATTGCAAGACAATGCCAGTACACAATAGAAGATACAAATACCACTTATTGCAGTGTAGTATCATTAGGGAGGTTTCCCTTGTGAAAAGCCAGTCATGCAAGAATCTCAAAGTCGAGCATCTCCAATTTCGTTGGACAAAGGCCATGCTTCCCTTGAACCAATCAGAGGACAAACGCCTTTCTTCTTTTCAGCCAATCACAGAGCTGATGTCACTGTCACTTCGCTGTTTCGACCAATCAGGGGCTCCTAACGAGGTTGCCTTCCTGTGATGGACAAGAGCTCGACAGCAATGCGCTCGCTAGGGGCTACAGGGCGGCAGAGTCCTTCAGGGTCCCGTGAGCCTGAACCCGCTTTACATCTGAAGGAAATGACACAGTTATGACTGATAAAACAACAGTTTACAGCCCCAGTTCAATAAACACGCGTTCGTCATGGTGTTGTTGGTGGTGTGGAGAAACGTTTGTTTTAAAGATTGAGTTCCAGGTCTTTTCTAAATGGTTTTGCGATCTGTCGGTATTGCAATAAAATAATAAGTGAATTTCATTCAAGTGAATGAAAATTCCGTCTCCCTGTGATGTTGTTTGTTACTGCTGTGAAACCGCCGCTGTCTGGAGGGGGGCGGGGGTTTTGTACGAACTGCACAGAAGGTGGAGGAGTGAGCGCACGGTGTCCGCTTTTGTATTTTGCAGGAGCTCCCGGGCCGGCCGGACAGGAGCAAACCCGAACCCGAGGCCAAGGCGCGAGGATGAACCCCAGGGCGCTCTGCCTGCACGCGCACCTGCTCCTCCTGCTGAGCCCCGTGCTGGGGGGCGCAGGTGAGCGAGCCGGGGGTCGGTGTGGCTCGTGGTAAACGAATCGTGGCTCATTTCGTTGACGTGTTATTCTCTCCTGCTCTCGTCGCCCTGAATCCGTGCACTGGTCTCATCCCGGCTCCTGTCGCTGTAACACGGTTTCTCCAGAGCGAGGGGGTGCGTTGGCGTGCCTGTCCGGACACGCCACCGATATCAGCTGCTCCTTCAACGAGACGAACGTCTGCGATTCGATCCGGGACTGCAACGTGACGGCCGGGGCGTGCGGACTCTTCCCCGGCTACACGCGAGTGGAGTGCCGGGTCACCTATGATGGTGAAGGTGAGCCCGTCTTTTAATCCGGTTCGGTGTTCACTGTTTCTAGAATCATGACTGTTCTGACTCGCTGTGGGTGAGAGGCTGCCACGCTCCTGCAGCGCTAGGGCTGGGAATCAATGTCTCGCGGCAACAGTGTGTCCTTAGTGCTGCAGAGGTACTGTATGTAAACAGTATGTGGACACAAGGGAAGACCTTCTCTGAAAACACATGACAATGGAAAGAAAACCGCAGGTGAATGTGTTTTAAATTAAATTAAGGGAAACAAGCGTAGGGTTATATTAGACTTTTTGTACCCTAATTTAGCCTCAGCACTTATGTAAGTAGGTATTGAAAGTAGTATATCAGCGCTCTGATATGACAGATGTAAATTCAACATGAGGATGATCATGTTAGCGTCCAGGATTTTGCTTACCAGCACTGGCAGAATGCCATTGGATAACTGTATTTTCATGCTTGTTCATTCCCAGGACAAGACTGCATTAATGTAACCATGGGGAAGGACTCCAAATGTTACAACGGTGGGAAGAAAATCGCCAGTCAAGCTGAAGGCCCCGCCTGCATTAAAGCTGGCAGCCTGCAGTGCACACATGTGTTTGTCCAGCAAGGTGAGCTGTCTGGTGACGGGGCTGCGCTCACCCTTCGTTTGCCCAAACAGAGGGACAGGAAGCTGCTTGTTCTCACGCAGAATACAGCTGTGGGAAAGCCTGCATCTAAGGAGGACAGTGATGCCCCATCAGCCCTTAATGACAAGTGGAAGCACTTGACTGTTATTCCTCTCCCTGGAGTCTAGACTTGCCAGCCCTCTATTTCAGACATGTGTGCAGTCACAGCCGTGATGTCATAGGAGTGGGGAGACCTGGGAGACAAGAGGCGTGGTTTCCAAGCTGAACTGGTTCTTTCCTTGTCTTCCAGATTTGGGGTGCAACCACGACGGTCATACTGATTTCCCATCCTGCTCTTTTCTCCCTCATGGGAGTGAGGGGGGATCTCTATCAGGTAGCCTTTCACTGGAGATACGGCTCAGATTTAAGAGAGAGAAAATCAGGGTTTTTTTTCAAATGCTATAGTTTGCTGTCGTTTATTTGAAAGCTGCTGTTAACAGCGTCTTCTAACAAGTCCAACAGGCATTTTCATTATCTCAGGGAAGGGCTTCAGAATGAGCAGCCTGAATGTGAAGTGATTGTCTTAATCAATATTTATATCTGGAAGCACTTCATCTACACCTAGGACATGACACTGTCCAGTAAGAATGTCTCACTCCTGCATGATGCTGTGAGAGACTCACAGACCACTGAATGTCCGTCAGTCAGACGTGATGTGTGCCCCCTCTGCGTTCTTCCTTCCAGACTGGAGTCTTTCGGTCGGAGTGATTGTTGGCGTGTTGGCTGTCACCATTGTGGCTGGAGTTCTGGTACGTTTCCGAGGTCGAGGGATCGAATACAACACTGGGTAGGCAGAGTCTTGACCCCCTTCATCTGCCTGCTGTTTCCAATTACATTTTGTATCCTCAGTATGGTGGTCAGTGAGAGTGAGCTGGGCACTGATGCCCTTAACTCCTCTGTATCCTCAGTATGGTGGTCAGTGAGAGTGAGCTGGGCACCGATGCCCTTAACTCCTCTGTATCCTCAGTATGGTGGTCAGTGAGAGTGAGCTGGGCACCGATGCCCTTAACTCCTCTGTATCCTCAGTCATACCTCTTGCAGTAACTGACTGGAATTCCCTTCTTTCTCTCTCAGGTCTGGAAATACAGGCGACAGAAAAGGACAAGCAGGTAGTTGTCATTTCTTATCCTAATAATCCCTTTATAGCCCTGGGTCTGTGAAGAGAAGACATTGCTTAATGCAGTTTCTGTTTTTCCCCAGGGGGGACCTGGAAAGTTCAGTAGGGAGCGAAGATCCACTGCAAGCTGGTGACATGTGAAGGTCCGGACTGCCGGAGAGGCTGTTAAACTGAGACTGAGACGCTTGCTGTCCTGCAGAATTGTTATTCCCTGTAACTGTTCCTTTTGACAGTGTCCTGCTGTGAGTTTTCTGCTTTGTGACTGTTCCAGCACACTCCTCACAGATGGAGAAAATGCTGTTCTGTATTGCCTTTCAGCCATGTGTATAGAATTGAGAAACCGTCCTGCTGAGCGGGCTGAGATCTGGGTCCACATTCACTCCAGTGCTGAAGTGTGAAACCTCAGAGCTGTTTAATCAAGGAACTCTGGGAAGAGAACGCGCACGGTGCGGTATAGCCCTCTGGTGTGAGCGAGCTGTCGTGCGTGAAAGCACAGTGCGTTCGTGGGCTGCCCTCTGCTGGTAGACAGCAAGGTGGTGCAGCTGAGTAAACCGCGTAGTGAATAACTCGGGAGCCCCGAGTCCGAATCGCTCTTGTCTTCTGGAGCACAACCTTAGAACAGGGAGACATTCCCCACATACACGCACAAAGCATCCCTCAACAGCACTTTTTTTTCTTGCTCCTGTGTTAATGTGGATAATGGAGCTGTATTTTTTATTTTGTTTTGATGGTTGTTGTATTTATTGGGTTGAACGCACAGCTTGTTGTTCCTCTCTCTGAGCACTGCGGCTGCCCGCAATCCTGCGTCGGTTCTTACTGTTTCAGGACCTCCTGCGCCAGCAGGGGGCAGCGCAGCGTGGTGGGCACGTCTCCGGACTCACAGCAGGGGAGATAGCGGTCCGTTTGTCAGGCTCACATCGAAATGCCCACCTGAACTACACCTGGACAGGGACTCTCTTCTTTAACTGGGAGAGTTAACTTAGTCTTCAGTGGGCTTAGCAGCCACCTGGAGCTTGACTGAAGCTGCTATCTGCCCCTGGACTGAGAGCACAGCCTCAGAGCCCCACACAGCGCTGGGTCTCCTTCCTCAGTCCCTCTCGTCTGCCTTCAATGAGACACGGGTACTTGACTCGGTCTTCTCTGTTTACTCTTGCACAATGTCTTTGTTAATTGAGCCTACTGATGTTGCAATAGTTCTTTTATTTTTTTTGCCGTAACCGTCTGCACTGTCAGCCTCGTGTTTCAGGTGGGGGATAACGAGGGGGATGCGGGTGCGTTCTATTTTACACTCGGTCTAGGGCGAGGCTCTGTGTGTCGGCGCTGGTGATTGGACTCGCGCCCCCTCCAGGCGAGAGCAGTCACGGCCCGTCATTCTGCACTGCACCCTGGGAACCCATACTAGGCTCCGTTCTGCCATCCTGACTCGGGTGATCCGATGGGAAGCAGCAGAGTGACTGATCAGTGGCTGTTCACAGGACTGACCACGAGGAGCCCGGTGCAGACAGTTAAAAAACAATGTGAATATGGGTCTCTGTCCTGTCAGGGGATTTGTGATGGTGCCCATGCGGCTGTATCTCAGGGAACGGCTTTGGTTGTTTGAGGCGTAGAGATATTCAGGATGGAATTATGCGTGACAAACACGATTGCGGAACAGGATGTGTTACCTTTTACTGGGACTAATTTTGTTTGCATTCACTTTGAAATAGGAGTGTTTCTGCTCTTGGTATCTTCTGCATTCTGGCTGTGTGAAGCGCCCGGGGAGAGATCTTACTCGGAAGAAGGTGTTAGATATAGTATAGAAATAGGTGAACGTAAGGACACAAGATTGACTCTAATACAGTGAAAATCTGTAAATAAATGAAGTGTCAATGAGTACTGTACTCAGGGTAGCACTGTGACTTAATTACCCTCTTCCTGTAACTGGATAGTACCTGTTTTTTTAGTTAATAAAGCACATATTACACTAATACTGTTTACATTTTACATTTGTTTTTAGTTGTATTTGTTCATCTTCTTTCTGAGTTTTGGATTCATTGCAAATTCTTCCTCTTTGAGGTCTGTCATAGTTACTGTGATGTGTTGAGAACTGATCAACACAACCCTGTGATTGGTCAGAATATCAAGTATAATTCATTTAAATAGCACCTTTGACCTCAAAGAATACCCTGCAGAAGTACAGCCC